TTTAAAATTATTCTAATCGCCATTTCAGTTACTTGCTTTTCTGCCACTTGCAATGTGCTCTGCCTGGTTGCTAGGTTTCCAAATTCTGTGCATATGACTATGATGCAGTCATAATGGCCATGAGTGTTACAAAGGGAAAGAGGGAGGAGACTGAGGGAAACAGGAAAACAGGTTGGACCTAGTAAAGTGAAGCACATCTTTCGAAGGAATTCGTACTACTGAGAACGGAGATGAGGGTATGTTGAAAGAAAAAAGGAAAACTTTAGGGATTTTAAGTATTTCTGAGTCTACCTATCCTTTTTACAGCATATAAAATACTGAAATTTGCTTTGATTGATTGACTTAGGTTTTTTTGATATAATGCTATTCTGAGACTTGTTCCTTTGGTCGGGCCTTCAAAATTGTTTAAATGATTTGTGAATATGTTTCAAATATAGAAATATCTCGTTTTTTTCATTAAGTTTTCAGTGACACAATCATTTTAAAGGTAAAATTAAATTGGAGAGGACAGAGGAGGTTGAGTTTTCTTTAGTAAAAGGGTTTGGGGATGGTAAAGGGTTTCACTGATACTCATAAGTACATGGAGTTCTTCCGATATATATTAGATGACAACATTTTATCCAAGATAATGTGAAAGTTTATTTTGATGAGTTTTTCAAAGGAGAAAAATGGGACAGTTAATTCATGTTAACAAGATTTGACTGAGCTGATGAGTCATTAATACAATTTGGCGTGCAAATATTTTTGGTGGGAAAGGAACAAACAACCTTACCAGACACTAAGGACAATGGACAATAGTTTTATTAGAATATAAACAAAATGTCCTCATTATGGAGGCTACTTGAATTTGACTTAGAATGTTTCATAATAGCCAGGTTCATTTTAAGCTCCATACGTGTTTAAATTTCAAGCAGACTTGTATGTAAAAATCTGAATCAGAAAGAAAATATTTGAGAAGATCTACCCTGGCATATAAATTTTATTTTCTATAAATTTTAAGGAAATTAGTCTTTCGTAGTATATAACTAATAATGTACTTTCTCAAGGATCCAGAGGCCAAGTTAAAATGTGTATTTAGAAATTTAGAAGTGATTTTAGAAATTGCCAGGCATATTACATTTATCTTTATGAACGTAACAATGTTGACTTTTGTCTAATAAACAGTAGAAATATTGCTTTCTGTGTGTGTGTGTGTGTGTGTTCTAGGTGAGCAAAGAATATCAAATATAAATGTAGTACAAGAAAAAAGAGAGGAGATTGTATTACTGTATTGATTAAATAAGTACATATGTTTTTGGTTGTGCTATTAGGAAAGTAAAAATGAAGAAAAACTATGAATTTTCTATTTCCAAATATAACACAGGCATTAAACTATAATAATAAAGATGTTCAATAGAATGCTCCATGTTCTTCTTATGCAATATCAAAGAGGACTTATTTTTTAGATGATCAATAATGGACCTAAGTACACAGATTTCCTTCTTTTTTAATAATAATTATTATTATTTTTATGTAGAAGTATTGGGATGTAGGCCAGTGGTGAAGGTGGACGAGAGGATTTACTACACAGATGAGCAGAATAGGCAGATTTACTGAAATGCACTGCTGAGGGGAGCAGTGGGTGATACAATAAAGTTCTGCTATACCATATGTGGGTTAGCTCCCTAGCTGGGGATGAAATCAGGTTATAGCAGTTATAGTGCTGAGACAACCCTCAGGCCACCAGGGAGGCCCAGTACCCTAATTTCTGATGGGGATACTTTGCAGAGGACAAACTTTTAGTTTTAATTACACCCACTATCTTAATAGTTGTTTTAAATATGAAAATAGGCTCTATATATGTCTTAGATGGCATGCCTGTGCAGATTATGGAAGGGAACAAAGAATCTCACAGCTAGTCTGGTACGTGGAAGCAAAATATTTACCAAAGGGCACAGAAGAATAGGTAATGAGTATGAATATAGGAGGTACAGGGGTTGAATAGTCTCCATCTGTTTTAAAAAATAATATTGATCTATTTTCAGAGTGAATCTGATAAGATCTAGATGACCTTCAATAACTTCAGTTCTCACGGAATTACTGGATCTCAGCCTTACTGAGAAGCAGCCAGTGAGTTTTTCCTCAAATATCTGAGTCCAATTTGATTATTTTACATATATTTCAAAATGCAGACTGATAATTTTCTTGGTTTGATTATAACTATGATGATGTTTAGATATCTTAGTAGAGAGCTTATATTTGTCAACCTTGAATAAGTCTACTTCAATTAGTTCAGCAGTAAGTAAATCCTTGAAATTTTTGGATTGTATGAAGATGCTTAAGAAATAAGCTACATTGTCAAGATATAAATCTTGATGAGTGCCTACATTTAATAGTTAGAAAGAAGATGCAGTAATTTTCAACAAAATGGAGGTAATTTGAAAATAAAACATGCCGCAAATTAAGTCAGCACAATAAAAATAAATATTGGACATTGATATCACAGACAATGTAAAACAGTTTCAAAAACTAGTGGAAGTCAACAAACATCATGAAGTTTCTAGTGTCAAAAAGGAAGGGGAAGGGAAAAAGGCAAGGAGACAAAAATAAAAGTTAGAAAGGGTAAAGTTGTAGCAAAGACAAGTTAGATGAGGATAAAGGAAGCATAAGGGTAGTGAACTATCACATGATACATTGAAACTGGCACCTCCCTCAGTGACAGGAGCATCAGCAGCAGGGTGGTGAGATGGCTTCTCATTCTGCTGCTCTACCACAGGCTGGGTCCGGCTGTGATTCCTCCAGCCCAATATTCTATGGATTACCTTGAGATCAAGGCAGGTTGGGTCTATAAAAAGTTACTTGGTGTCTGGATCATAGTATGGGTCAATCAGGATCAAGCTTTAAGCTTATTGGTGCTAAATGGTCCAATCAGCAATAGGATTGAAAACACTGCAATCAGACTTGTAGATGGGAAGCCCAGAAGAGGGGATATAAGGCAATGCCAGAGAAACTGGGGGACTCTGTTCCTGGTCTCATAATAAAGGAGAAGGACCAGCAGCTGCCATCCAAGAGGGGACGGTGGGGGGAAGAATAAGCATTTAGCATCCAAACCCTGACAGAGTGAGAGAAGCCACAGATAGTTCCAGAGACTGGACCACAGAACCTGCTTCCAGGCCTGTCTCTGATGTTGCCTAAAGAAAGCCCCAAAGGCCTTGACTTGGTGTCCAAAAGAGCTGTTTGTTGTTAGTACAGTCCAGCAACTCACAAAGAGCTATGACCTGGTGTCTCTGATACCACCTCTGGGTAACCAATAGTGACCATTACTACTGGCCAGTGCAGTCCAACACTGTTGACAGGTGACTGTCACTCTGCTTATGTCTGAACACTATGGGGCCACTTGTGGCTACTCCAAGCTCTTTGTTCCCCCGTTTGTAAAATAAATCCTATTGTTGTAGCTCATTGAGCCTAAATTATCTTGCAATTTTGCACACAAGTGAGACGACTTGTCCTCTATTGAACACTGCACTTCTAGGGGCCCCTCTTATAGGTATAGCTATAGCACCTTGTTTCTGTAACAAGAATACTATGCTAAAAAGTAGGGAAAGATGAAGAGTGAATGATTATATGAACTTCGTAAAACAGCAGTAGAGTGTGGAACAGAATAAAATCCCATTGGAAACACATCAAGAGAAACAAAACAAAATTAGAGAGTAAAATAGTAACACTTAAATTGTCAAATTTGGGGGAAATTAAAGGTTAAATTTATTTCAGCGTGAATATGAAATTATAAAAAAAAAAAAAACAAGCAGTATCAGGACAGAAAATCATGCTGAGGAAATGCACTCCAAAATTTAAACAGGGAAAATGGAATGAGATTATGGACTGCTGGAGACTACAGTATGATATAAATGGCTGCACTGCTCTATGTTTTTAAATCAAGCAGACCAGTCCATAGATTCGATCTGGATTAGCTCATAGAAGGTAGCCATAGAAAATGAAAGACACTTTAATTCCTCAACTTCCTCTAGATTTGTTGTTCAGCCTTTTTGGATTTGCCTCTATCCACCATTGTCTTCAGTAAGAAACTTCCCCATCCTTGTAAACTCTGAAGAAATCTTCAGCTTTCCCAATATTCAAAGTTCCCAATAATCAAAATTTCCTCATAGACAAGAGTGTTAAATACATAGTTCAGAGAATTAGTATTCACTGAATTTGTTTAAGCAGATAAGGTCCATGGATAATGAAATAGATAAAAGGGGGAGTTTAAACCAATAGTTTTGAGTGAAGGAAATCAGCTACTAACAGCAATAAAGGAAGCATGAGGTGATTATCAACTTGATTAGACTGAAACAGTGATAATGAAAGTGAGTGGTAACTTTGAAAAATATCTTAATAAACGACTCATAGTTAACACTTCACTAATTTTGAACTCTCTTACCTATTCTGCCTCTCCCTCCCCACACATAATTTATAGTTTTTCTTAGTATAGATGTTGCTTTAAAAGAACAGATAAAATAACTAGAAAATGAAAAATTCCAAAGGAATAAATAGGTTGCTTTTCACACAAATTGAACTGTTTTATTTCCACAACTGTCTTTATTCTGTCTTAAATATACATAAGCACAACAAATACATTCTACTTTATTTCATTTTAAACGCCCACATCCATAATTCAGATCTACCTTATTAAATGACAATTTCAATTAATCCACAGTCTAAAAAAGGAATAATTGGGCTACATATTAACGCACATTCAGATAATAGCTGAATTCAAGTTTATAATACGCCAAATTGATGTAACTTCCAGAACACAGTGATGAGAACAACTCTTTGATAGAAGTTCTGTTTCTCCTCTATCTTATGTTTTTCTTATTTTGTGGGCCTGTGACTCTGATAAAGTATGTAGTGTTTTAAGAAAGATCAAAATTTTCTTTTGCAGGATTAAAGAACTGAATTCTTATGAAGTGAAACATTCCTCCATTTAATAGATCTTTGTTTACTTTCTTAAGTAGGCCCCCAGGATGTCTTCTCCTACCAAAGAAGAAAGTGGTTCAGCTGACAAAGATCTCAAAAATTTAGAAAGCGAGGCTCCAAATGACTGTAGTACAGTTACAGAGCCTTCATCTGTTAATCCCAATGCAATGTCTGAAGTGGAAACCGCCCCTATGAATAGGGAGCTAGGCACAGCAAGCTCCCAAGAACATCGTGTCCCTGAAGTAGCAACAAATGATGAGTCTGAAATACAGAAGACTGAAAAGGATTCCCAGGATTTAAAAGAGGAACCCCTTCTAATTCAGATCCCCATTCCTCAGAAATTGATCTTTTTTATGTCTGGGGTTAGGGAATTAGGGAGAATTACTGATCTGAGTTTCCCATTGGGAAACAATGATAACAACAATCCTTTAACTGACAGAGCAAGAATCCACTCCAGAAAAATAGAGACAAAAGTAAGTGATTTATGTTATCGCACCCTAAGTAACAAAATGCCTTTCCAACTCTCAACTATATTGAGAATTCCATTCTTTAGCAACCAAGAGATAAGAAGAATGATTCTCTGTCTGCTATGCAGGAGACATTTCTCTGAGGCCACCAGACGTCAAAATACCACCTGGGTGAAACAAAAATATGCAGCATTACTTCCTCGTACAAATGCCCTCACACAAGGAGAGAGAGCCATAGTTTTTGGAAGACCTTTGAGGTTGTACTATCAGCATCCCCTCATTGAGAGAATAGCAGTAGGAAAACTTTTCAAGCCGAATGATAGCAAGGGGAAAGGTGGACTCCACATTTTTGTGAGGCCTGTGTTCTATGTTCCACGACCCCAGATTCAAAATACATTTATTAGAAAAGTTTTTGAGGCTCATTGGAGAACTCTTCATAACATGAGAGTTGTGATCATACGCATCAATAATGGTTGGAAATACCTCTGCCCCATCTGTGGGAGTAGTTTCAACAATTTGATTGAATTTAGAGAGCATTACTGCAATTCTCCTGGGAATTAAGTAAAACTGGGATGAAATTTAAAATTAAAATTCCAAAAAAAATAATTTGGCTGACAAATTGAGATAAAATTTCATGAACATGTTTTATTAGTGTTACTTGGAGCTACAGAATGGAACATAAATTAAAGGATCTATCATTAAAAAAAAAACACCTTTGAAAAGAGGATAACTTACAAAGAAACCATTGCTTCTCCTGTGCTACTACAAAACCAATCATCAACCATCACACTGATCTGTATTAAGAAAGCAGTTGAAAAAAGGAAAAGTTTGCACTTTCTCATATTTCTGCAGATATGAATACAATTAATATTATCAAATAACAAATCTACAGGATCTTAGCAACAATAGTAAACATACTGGAGGGATAAACAAAGTCCTACTGTGTACTTCCAGAGACTGCTACATTTGCTGTAAAACATGTTCTCCATAAATTCAATAAAAAACATTTTAAAGCCATTTGAAATTCCATTGTATGCTTACAAGTAGATAAAAATTATATACCTAGGAAATTTTCAAGTGTCACAAATGTCATATTTATGTAATAATTTTGATGATTCAAAATAAAACTTAAACTCATAAAAATAATTTGATAGAGATAAAATAATTTGACATATAAGTATATAGCTATTAAAATGGTACCATACAATTTAAATCATTTTGTCTTGAAGTTACCATTGCCTACCATCACAACACAAATTTTACATTTCCCTATATATATACACATAAGTATATACACAATTAAGAGTTCTTTATTTTCCTATTTACAGCTCAAACTTCTGAACCTCTTCTTTCATAAAAATTAAAGTAGACACCATAACTACACCTCTATATCAACATGTTTATTGGTGAACTATTACTTGGGAAATGTAGGATAGTTGCCTTTGTTAAACACAATTATCTTACATGTGTGCATTTTTATGAAAAAATTAAATGCATAAAAATATTTTCCAAGAAATTGAATAACTTTTTCAGGTAACAAAATCAGTGCGTAATAATGTTACCATATAATAATATAGAATATAGGCGTCTCCCTGGTGGCACAAGGGTTAAAGACTCAACACTATGAAGCTATTGGCAGCCACTAGATAGCAAGAGTCCGATCCCTGGTCAGGGAGGTGACCCACATGGCACAGCAGATCTCTCCCGACTCACCTGCTATTTTTGTAAATTCACCTGTCCTCTTCCCCACTCTGTGTCTGGTGAATCCTGTTACTATCCAGCCTCCCCGGCTCCTGTATGCATAAATAAATAAGACAATATTTAAAAAAAAATAAATATAGTATGTAGTCCTAGTCAGATTAGCATTACCTACCATCAGACTGGGCCCTAGCCTGGGCCTAGAAGTGCTGTGCCCTACAAAAAGGGCCCTCAGCTGCTCCTAGGTGAGTATTCCTGATCCCACCACTAGCCACCACTCCACAGAAGTTGGCAGAGGCCAAAGTCACAAACCTGCAATACACAGTTATTGCCCACATCTCCCCAGACACACCAGGAAGGGCAACCTACTCAGCTTGCTGGCACCTTCCAGGAGACTGAGTTCCAACCTGGGCTTCTCAGTGCCTTGTCTTACATCATAACCCAGACACCCTAAGGAATCTTTGGCAAGATACTTGGCCACCAGAAACATGCTCTGAGCCACCGCTCCTTGGAGATGTGGGGTCGCAACAAGTCAGCCTCTAGCTTCAGCACCCACCTTGCTAGATGGTTTCACAAATGAGTTCTAACAAACATTTAAAGATGACATAGTGCCTAGCCTACACAAATTCTTTCAATAAATTAAGAATGAAGGAACACTATCTAATACATTTTATGAAGACATTACACTAAATTCAAAACCAAAAGTGAAACACAAAAACTACAAACCAATTTCCCTAATGAACATGGATGCTAAAATCCCCAATAAAATCTTATCAAATACAACAATGCATTAATAACATCATGCAACATGTTCAAGTAGAATTTAAGCTAGGGCACGGGGTAGTTCAACATCTGAAAAATCAACACCCACAAAAATACAATCCATATGATATATCAATAAATGCTGAGAAAGCATTTGATGAATTTCAACATCTACTTAAGATGAACACCCTCAAAAAAATTGGGATACAAGGAACACATATTACCATAATAAAATCCACATGTGACAAACCCACAACTAACAACATTCTTACATGGTGAAAAACTGGAAGCTTTCCCATTAAGATCTGTAATAAGACAAGAATGTTCACTATCACCATTGCTTTTCAATATAATACTGGAAATCCTAGCTAAGTAGTTAGGCAAGAGAAAGATATAAAAGCCATCCAAATTGGGAAAGAAGTAAAACTATTATTACTTGCAGATGATTTGATATATGATAATGTATATAGAAAATTCTAACAAGCCCGAAATGAAGCCACACATATGTGGCCAACTAATGAATGACAAAGGAAAAATAATATACAATGGAAAACTGTGTTTCTCAAAATATTCAATACTAAAACTGGATCTACCATATGATTCTGTGATTTCATTACTAGGAACCAACCCAAGGAACACAAAATTGAAAGGAAATCTACATTCCTATGTTTATTGCAGCACTATTTACAATAATTAAGATATTGAAACAACCTAAATTCCCCAAAACAGATGAATGCATCATGAAGATGTTGTATATAGGCACAATAGAATACTACTCAGTGATCAAAGATGATAAATTCACGTCTTTTGCGGCAGCACCTCTCACGCTGGAACGGATTATGCTAACAAAATAAGTCAGAAGGAAAAAGACAAACACTGCATGGCTTCACTTAGATGTGGATTGTAGAGAAACTGAACAAAGGTTCAGATAAAAAAAAAAGACAAAAGTTGCAAGCTGATAAAATCTGAGGCATACAGCAGGGGAGGAGGAGTGAGGGAGTCAAAATAGGGGAGGGAAGAGCACAAGGGACGATGGTGATAGATCATGGTGGTAAGGTGGTAGGAGAACTACAGCGATGACGCCTGAGCAGAGAAATCAAACACTGTGCAAAAATTAGCAATGATGTAAGAAAATAAATAGATACATTTAATTGAAAAAATGTCACTTCAATTTACCTTAATGGGTGGCTTTTTGCGTATGATACCTTATTTAATAATATGCATGCATGAAATGACATAGAAGTGACCTAGTCTATAGATAATCTGTAGCACAAAAGTTCTAAACTCGTGAAGGATAGTTTGGCTATAAATTTAAAACATGTCAAGCTTGTTCATCTGGAGGTAAACTTTGTACTTTCTGAAACAGTTATTCAATGTGAAGAAAGTATCGGTATGAACAAGTAAATTAATTCAGACAATTAAGGCAACTAAATGAAATGTTTCTCTTTTAAGCAATATACATTACTTAGATTTTTATCTCATTAATGAAAATGAGATATGAACTACAGTCTTGTAAAAATATAATCCATCAGGTAGAAAACAATAAAAATAAAACAATGTAACTATTTTGATCTTCATTTTTCACTGGGGACAACATAAAAATTGGAACAGGATTTTAAAACTATGCATTATCATTGTCATTTTATCATCAATAGAATTTACATTTGTTAAAGCTGGAATCTTTAACAAAATTTGAAAACAATTTAAGTACAGCGCAACGTATACTGGCTATTCTTCATATGTTTTAAATGCAAACATCTATTGAATAAAAACTTTAGAAATGACTAATGTGAGTCAGAATTAAGAAGAAATAATGAAATCAGAAAAAAATAGAAGAATCTCAGATTATCAAAGTCTACAGGGAAGGAAGGCAAGTATATGAATGAATAATGTTTCAAAATACTGAGTTTTCTGTCTTTAATTTTTTATAAACAGCACATCACTGGTATACTTACATTTTTTCTCAAATAATATATTCCTTTATTATTGTATGCATTTTTCCTTTACTATATTTTATTCCTTTATTATACACACATATTTTATTCCTTTATTATTGCTTTGGAAATTTCATAATTTTTTCATAGAATATATCTTAAAATACAAGTACAGGATCATATATGTACTTCATATGTAAACAGTAACTAGACTCCATAGTGTATTACATTAACATCAGGACCAGTAAATTACATTCTCAACACAAGGTAGAAAGCATTTTTAGAATGAATAACCTTATAAAGATGAACATGACAACATTTCACTCGATTATTGCTCTCACATTTGTACAAGTTAGAATTTAAGTGTTTATTCTTAAATTTTATTCCAAAAGTGCATCTTATACCAGTTTTCTATTTTCCTCATTTATGTCATCAATGTTTTGAACATTTTTTTTGCAGGTTATGTTTTGACTATGTAATGTGAAAAACTATAGACTTTTCAAATAATCTATCACATATGTGATGATTTTATTTGAAATTATGCAAAAGTCTTAAAAAGTTAAAATAAAAGTGGGCCTTCCCTGGTGGCGCAGCGGGTTAAAGCGCTGCACTAAGAAGCTTAAGCCACTTCCGCATGAGTTCGATTCCCGCCTGCCCCGGAGGAGATCCACATGGCGTGGCAGACCTCCTCTGACCCGCCGGCTGCTCCTCTCAGCAGTGTACCTCGTTAATCTGCCTGTTCTGCTCCCCTCTCAGTCTCTGGTGAATCCTCTCACCCTCCGCATCTCTGGCCTGTACCCCAGTTCTGTATGAATAAATAAATAAATCTTAAAAAAAAAGTTAAAATAAAAGCATGATGAGTATTTCAGGAAATCTTGCTCAAATTAAAATAAAAACAAATTAACAAATAATACCTGATTTCCCTCACTTTCAGTGGGTAAATTTAGTGTCTAACACCTTTCATTTTATATAGAAACAACCTCAAATGATTCATTTTAATAAAGAGAAAAAAGGGTTTGACAATGTAGTTGTCCCAAATGTTTAATTTTGAATTTGTTCCTGCATCAAAATTTGTAAATGAAAGCTCACAAATATTGGAAATACACTTGAAGAATCCAGCCCTATAGACATTCATATTCAATAAAATATTTCAACTCTAAGCAGACT